AGGTTTTAGCAGCTGCCGCTGCCGCGCCGAGGCGCCGAGGCTCGGGGCGGGCCGGGCAGCGGGCGGCGGCAGCAGCAGCCCTTCACTTGTCGTCCCATAGGAAGGGTGTCCCCGCGGCGGGACTGCGGCGGCGGCCGGGCCGGGCGATGCCCCCTCCGCTGCTGCTGTTGCTGCTGCTGCCGGCGGCGGCTGCGGCTCGCCCGGGCTCTCATGTTTCGCTCCCTCTTTTCTTCTTCTTTTTAAGCGGCGCGCGGGGAGGTGCTGCCACCGCGCGCCCTGCACGTCACCCGGCGGCATCCACCGGCCGCGCGTGCCGCCCGCCGGGAAGCGGGAGCGGCGGAGGGGCCGCGCCCGCCGGGAGGGAGCGGCGCGGGGGCGCGGCGGGGGCGCGGGGCAGGCGGCACGCCCCGCCCCACGGAGATACCCCCCCACCACCACCACCCAAAGGGGGTCCGGCTGCCCCTTTTCTCCCGGTGGAACGGGAGCCGGGCCTCCCGGAGGGACGGAGGGAGGAGGCGGGCGCCTTCCCGCTCCCCTGTCTCGGCGGGAACCGGTGGAGCCGCGTCGGTGCCCGGTGGAAGGCGAGCGTCGTAGGTGGGTCCTGCGCCCCCGACGGCCGAGGCGCCCGGGGCAGGGCTCCCTCGGCGCTCGGCTCTGGGTCTGCTCGCCCGTGCCCGCCCATTGCCCCTATAACTCATCCCCGAACGCCAGGGAAGGTTCCAGAGGCGTGGGGCCAAGCGCGGGGCGGGCATCGACGGCGGGAGGTGCCCTCAGCTCCGGTGGCTTTTTCCAGCGGAGCTGCGGAGTCGTTACTGCCACCGGAGTTGCCGTGGGTTCTCAGACCCCTCGGTGTCTGTGAGCGCAGTGACACTCACGGCTTCGCTCTGACCGTGATAACCAAAGTACAGCCTGTTGGTAATGGCGGCATGGAGGCCGTTTCTAAAGGTGGGAGGGAGCGGGATGTGGAGGAGTGAGCATCGTCCTGGTGTGCCGAGAACGGGAGACCTGTGTGTGGGAAGAGTGGGATGAGCCGAGTACTTTGCTTGGTGGCAAGAGAGCACCTGCTTGACCAGAAGCCAACCAAAAAGGGAAAGGCTAGCCCAATGTGAGCAGGGGGGAAATGGATTTGGGAAGAAAAACATTGGAAGCCTAGAGAAGCCGAGCCCAGGGTAGAGGCCGAGAACGCTGAGAGCAGGTGCTGCAGAGCCCCACAGGTGGGAAGAGGGAGCTGGAGGAGAGGAAAGAGGGGAAGCCCTCGGAGGTGGCTGAAGTGAGGGTGCAGCTACTGCCACTGACTTGGGGGTAAAGGGCAGCTGGATAAATAGAGTCAGAGGTGTATTTAGAGAAAAAATTGGCTTGTACCCAAAGAGCTCCCTTAGCAAGGAGAAAGGGAAAGAAGTATTGCATGAATGTGTGCTGATGTGTACTAGTGTCTCTAAACCAACTAGGCCCTGTTCCTGTTCACCTCCCATTTGTGTTTCACCAAACAAAACTAGTCTCTCCATATTTACATTTGAACTCTTACACAGTCCATACTGAACTAAATAGGAGTTTGGTATAGATAAATGGTACATCAGATAAATTATTTAGTAGACATAAAGACTCTTTCCCCTCAAGTACATTTGGGAAGGTTAGTGGTTCCTTTAACTCACGTCTTGACTCTCATTTGACTGACAGTGCTCCCAGCCAAGGTGGTGTTCACAACCAAGGACCGAGCCACATCCACATGAGTGAGGGTGTCCTGTGGTGCAGCTTGGGCCCCAGCACTCATGTTAATGAGAGAAATAAGAGTGTATTCTGGTGATACAGCATCCTGCTCTGTAGTTTTAGAGAAAAGTACTGCTTTGCAATCCATGAACTTGTTCTATGAGCAACCTGACATGGCAGAACTGTAGCAATGTAGCTCTACTACAACAGCTATGCCCTTTTCATTGCTCTGAGTTATTACATAGATTATTTTAAAATAAAAGTGAGTCTGGTATACATCAGAGTAACTGTATCAGAAAAAAGTCACTTTTATTCCCAAGCAGACTCCCTACAGAGGGTTACTTTGGCAGAACTGTGGTGGCCTAAGGACACAGCTGGAGATCTGTATGCCTCTCTTCCCTGGGTAGGCAGGTGCTCATACTTTTCAAGCAGGTTGTGTACTGCATCTCCCTTACTGGAGTGGGAAAGTAGAACTCGATGGAAGGAAGTGAGTATGGGGCAGATACCCTCTTGAAAAAACAAATGTTCGGTGAAAATATCCGTTGAGCAGTTGTGGCCTGGTCCTTGCAGTTCCTTTCTCTCTGAAGGAGAGAAGAAGTGAAGAATATAAATCTGTATGATCAAAGTAATGCAGCTATTAGTAAATAACCTTTCTTCCTCCTTCAAGTGCTGCCTGCAAAAATATCCATTTCTATGTATACCTGTACAAGTTCTCAGAGAAGGTGAGTTTGAGGTGTATTAATTAGATAGAAAATGATTTCCTGAAGTGGGGTTTAGATCAAGCTGCCAAACTAAGAAAGGGCTGGCATTTTGTTCCAGAGGGTCCGTTTCTACACAGAAATTTTACACAGATCTATGATGGAGACATTTCCCAGAAATTCTATGGAGTGTACTTTTGACCTTGTATAATATAAAGTGCTCAAAAATTCAAGCTCTGTAGTGATAGAGTGATGTAAAGAGGTATAAGCAAGACTTGAATAGGGTTGAATGTTCTTTAAAATCTCTGAATAGAAATTGCTTTTTCTTGGGGTTTTGTGCAAAAAGACCTGATTTAATCTCGTGTTCTTTTCCACACTTTAAAAGCACATGTTGGCTTCTTTTTTAACAAAGTATTTTTCTCAAGCTGATTGATACAGGGTTTTATTTATAAAACCTTTTTAATAATGCAAAGTTAAGGTCAGTATTAGTTTATGTCAGTTCAGGGTGTCAACTTTAGGTGACTTCCAGCTTCTGATAAACAGAGATAAGGGAATACTTATGAAGTAAAAACATATACATAGGAAATATGGATAATAAACACATCAGTTTTTCTAAGGCAACCTGGCTTCTGTCATACGAAGCTCATTACTAGAAATGATTAAACATAGTGATGCCATAAGTGAGCTGAGTAAATTCTGTTATTTGTTCAGATGTACATGAGAATCTTTGGGTTACAATGCAATTACGCATGAAAGGGTTAGAAAGTTTTAAAAAAGGAAGCAGTTGCTGACACAGTGTTTGAATATAGCTAGATTTTCTTCTAGTTTTGCCTGGGAGAGAAGCAGACTGTGCTTATTTATGCCATTGCTTTACATATCCGTATTATTATCTATATCATGAGTCCCTGTATCATGTGGATTAAATGTGACAGAATGCCTTTCCAAGAGTGTGAGGATAATTGTGGCATGCACCTGAACTTACTATCTCTCAGATTATTTTATGTCATACATATTTTACAAGGGAATTTAATTGCACCAAGAACCCTGTTTTAAGGTTTGAAGACCAGTTTGATGTCTTTATCGATGATCTGGATGAGGGGATCGATGAAGTCCACCCTCAGTAGTGAACAGATGACACCAAATTTTGTGGGAGTGTTGATCTGCTGGAAGGCAGGAGGGCTGTGCAGAGGGATCTGGACAGGCTGGATTGATGGGCTGAGGCCAGTTGTATGAAGTTCAACAAGGCCAAGTGCCGAGTCCCTCGCTTGGATCTCAACAACCCCACGTAGCGCTACAGGCTGGGGGAAGAGTGGTTGGAAAAGTGGCCCAGCACTGGTTGACAACTGCTGAACGTGAGCCAGCAGTGTGCCCAGGTGGCCAAGAAGGCCAGTGGCATCCTGGCCTGTATCAGGAACAGTGTGGCCAGCAGAACCAGGGCGGTGATTGTCCCCCTGTACTCGGTACTGGTGAGGCCACACCTCAAGTGCTGTGTCCAGCTCTGGGCCTCTCACTACAAGAAAGACACCGAGGTGCTGGAGCAAGTCCAGGGAAGGACAATGGAGCTGGTGAAGGGTCTAGAGAGTGTCATGTGAGGAGGAGCTGAGGGAGCTGGGGTTGTTTAGCCTGGAGAAAAGGATGCTCAGGGGTGACCTTATTGCTCTCTACAACTACCTGAAAGGAGGTTGCAGCAAGGTGGGGGTCGGTCTCTTTTCCCAGGCAACTGATGACAGGACAAGAGGACATAGCCTCAAGCTGTGCCAGGGGAGGTACAGGAAGAATATTTTCACTCAAAGGGTGGTTAAACATTGGAATGGACTGCCCAGGGAGGTGGTGGAGTCACCATCCCTGGAAGTGTTCAAGAAATGACTGGATGTGGCACTTAGTGCTATGGTTTAGTTTGCATGGAGGTGTTCGGTCAAAGGTTGGACTCAATGATCTTGGAGGTCTTTTCCAGCCTTAATGATTCTGTGATTCTAAGTCAATTAATTCCCCAGTAGTTTGAACAGAAGAGGAAATGTGTAGTTATGTGCAGCAGCTAGTGTCAGTTTTGGGAAATAGAGTTATCACAGGAGTTTGCAGATAGGAGCAGAAGCTGGGCAAAGTGATCCCATGACACCAGATTTGATGGAAGCAAACAGTAACATCAAATTATTCCTAAAGTTCCAACAGATGTTTTCTGATGGCACAGCTTTACATACTGTTGTGATTCACAGGAGAACTTTAAATGTGGTCACCTCACTTTCACAGCTAAGCCCATGTAATATGAGATGTATCTTCTCAGCGGTGATATCAGGGCTGAATTGCAACCTTCCACACTGGTGGCAAATACCTGGCATGCCATGAGGATGAATATTGCAGTGTTGGAACAGGCTAGGAGACATCACTCACCTCGGTCTGTACCTGAGAAATTATGGTATTTAAGGAACTAGTAGAGGAACATTACCCCTCTGTGTCAACGACACTCAACTAGATGAAGCAGGTGGATTTCAGTTCTTGGGACAGTGACTCTGCTCTTGCTTTAGCTGACATTTGAGTTGAACTTCTGAAACACACTTTTCTCTTGCCATTATTTTGTAAAGAGAAAAAAGCTTTTTT